ACTATTTTATTTTGAATTTTTGGGAGTAGTTCTTGTAGGGCAAAAATCACGTGCTCACAATACCAACCGTAGAGTTCGTGATGTTGCATTCATGATCGGAGAGAGAGTGTTGCTTAGGGTATCACCCATGATGGGTATGATGAGGTTCGGAAAGAAATGCAAGTTGAGCCCTAGTTATATCGGACCTTTTGAGATTCTTGAGCGAGTGGGAGAGGTGGTTTACAAACTCGCGTTGCCACCTAGTTTATATGCAGTTCATCCAGTGTTCCATGTGTCCTGCCTTCGAAAGTATCATGGCGATCCATCCCACGTGTTAGATTTCAACACTATTTAGTTGGACAAGGATTTGACTTATGAGGAAAAGCCGGTGACTATTCTAGCCCAGCAGGTTCGTCAGTTGAGATCAAAGAGTTATCCTTCAGTTCGAGTGCAGTAGAGAGGTCAGCTCGTCAAGGCAGCTACTTGGGAGTCTAAGTCGGACATGCAGAGTAAATATCCCCACCTTTTCACTAGCCTGAGTACTTTTCTATGTTTGTTCGAGAAGAACGGTTATTTTAGAGGTGGAGAATGTGATGACCCGAAAGGTCATCTCATATTTTAGATTCCAACTCTGTGCTTTTGAGATTTAAACACCTTATTTTATCCCTCCTCGATTTGCATGCACAGTCCAGGCGTGTTTCCTGAAAGCTTTTATGTAAAAACTAATAAAAATATGAAAATTTTGCTTAAAAGTCCATTTGAGTTGACTTCAGTCAACGTTTTGAGTAAACGGACCCGAATTCCTATTTTGACAGACCCATGGGCCCGTATCGTGATTTGGGAGTCGGGCGTATGTTCGAAATTGAATTCGGAAATCCCTAGACCGAGTTACTGGACTTTGTCAAAAATTGAAAGTTAAAGGCTTAATGAAATTGAAATGTTTGACTTTTAAGATATCGGGTTCATATTTTGGTTCTGGATTCCGGTATTGGTCCAATACCATATTTATGACTTGTCTGTAAAATTTGGTGAGAAACATAGGGTTTGACATGATTCGGACATCCGGTTGTGAAAATAGAAGTTTCAAAGTTTTCTAGAAAATTTTTATTTGATTTGGTGTTCTATTAGTAATTCTAGGTGTTATTTTGGCGATTTGATCGCGCGAGCAAGTTCATATGTTTTTAGACTTGTGTTCACTTATGGTTTAGAGCCTCGAAGGTTTGGGTGAGTTTTCGATAGGCTACAGAGTGAAAATTTGACTTAAAGCATTGCTGGTTCTGCAATTTCTATAACGGGTGTCTGATCTCCATTTGCAAGATCAGTGTTCACATTTGCAAACATTCCCCATGTTAATAGGCTTGCAATTGCAAGCAAATTCTTCGCATTTGCGAAGAGTACCTAGGCCAGTAATAGTTTGCATTTGCGATCAAGAGGTCACATTTGAGGGGAGCCAATGTTCGCATATGCGAAGTGGGAGCTGGGCAAGTAGTGATCGCAAATGCAACCAGTGGGTCGCATTTGTCGAAGGATCAGAGTTCGTATTTGTGAACTATTCATCGCAAATGTGACACCTACAACTAATCAAAACTTGACTTAGACAAGAATTTTGGTTTATTCTTCAAAGTTTCAAACTTGAAAACCATAGAGGCGATTTTTCAAAGGGCTCTTCTTCCCAAATCATTGGTAAGTAATTCTAAACTAGGTTCTTTCAATCTTCCACACTTTTCCTAATATTTCAACTTAAAACTTAAAGTTTTCATGGTGGAAATGGTTTTGGGTAGAATTAGAGACTTTTGTAAAATGGAGATTTAGACCACAAATTGAGGTCGGATTCTAAAATAAATTATATAACCGGGCTCGGGGTGAATGGGTAATCGAGTTTTGGTCTGAATCTCTGTTTTGGACCAAGCGGGCCTGGGTGTTGACTTTTTCAATAATGACCTCAACTGAATTCTTTGCAATCGTGGGTAGTTCCGAAGGCTTAATTTGAATCGTTTGGTTGGTAATTTGCTAGATTTTGTTGGTTCAGAGGCTTGTTTGAAAGGAAAAGCCGTGATTGAGCTTTGAATTTGGTCTTTGGAGCGAGGTAAGTGTCGTGGTTAACCTTTACTTGAGGGAATATGACTCGTTTGTCTATTTGCTACATGTTTAAATGTTGGGTACAATGTATATGTGAGGTGACAAGTACCTATGCGTTGTTGTCGGATTAAAGCATGCGGGTGAGACTTGGTTTCTCGTAATTATTGCTTCCTTTGATCATGTTATCCATGTTTAGACTAATATTGTTAAATTGATCATTCTTATCATGTTTACGGATTGTTGGTGATAATTGAGTATTGATTTCAAAGTTGAGGTTGGTATTGTGGAACCAAATGTTGATATAAGGCCTGTTCTTGTTATTTTATCTCCTTGTTGTTATTTGTTCATGGCTTTATGGTAAGGGAGAGTGTTAAAGCACAAAGGATGATGTCGTGTCATATTGTGAGTGTTAATGCACGAAGGGTGATGTCGTGCCATATTATGAGTGATAATGCACGAAGGGTGATGTCATGCCATATTGAGAGTGTTGATGCACGAAGGTTAATACCGCCCCTTGTTATGAGAGTTAATGATCGAAGAGTGATGTCGTGCCATTTCTATTGATTTATATTGTGAGATTGAGAGTAAAAGAACGAAGGTGATGTCATGCACTTTTCTTTATTGTGTTTAATTGTTTTCACTAGTTCAAGGCATATTTTGACTGTTCTAGTTATCATTTCTGCTGTGACTGTCTTATCTTGTATCCCCCTCAGCAAGTCCCCCTCCCGATATTACTTGTCTAACCCTTATTTATTGTTATTTGTACATATGCTATTATCTTCACATGTTTATCATGTAGGTGTCATGTCTTATCCTCGTCACTACTTCGTCGAGTTTAGGCTCGACACTTACGAGTACATAGGGTCGGTTGTACTCATACTACACTATGCACTTCTTGTGCAGATTTGGGTACCGGCCGTAGTTGATCGTGAAGTTAGCAGCTGGACTTGCTTGCTTAAAGACCCAAGGTAGATCTGCTGGCGTCCACAAACCCTGGAGTCTCTTCCTAGTCTTATTATTTTACTGTTTCTTTTCTTTCAGAATAGTGTATTTCCTTTCAGACTCTTTTTAGTAAATCATAGTAGCTCGTGAGTTGTGACTCCAGATCCTAATTGTATCAAATATTACGGGTTTATGTTATTCCGCAAATCAGTTTTAGCTTCTGTTTAGCTTAATTGTTCTTGATTGAAATTGGCTAAAGTTGGCATTAATAATCCTCTATCGTCGACTTGCCTCGCAAATAAAATGTTAGGCGTCACCACGATCCCGACGGTGAGAATTTTGCGTCGTGACACAAACTCCTAAAGTCTAGTTCGCTCCTAAAGACTAGTTCAAAATTATTTCAAATTCAAACCAAAATTACTACAGTAAATAACTCCTAAGCTGAAACAGTAAAATAATTTTACTGAGAGCCGCTTCTAAAGCTTATTTCTAACATATTCATAGTAAGGCATGGCAATTAATTTAAAGCATTTGTTCTATCTTTTCATAGGCACTTTCAAGCAGTTGACTACTCAAAGGGGAAATCTGTTGGGTTTTTTTAAAGGTCGATGGAAAATGGAGGAGTCACCTTTTGGATTCTCCATCTCACTCTTTCATTACCTGCAAATACAAATGCATTGTTTTAGATTTTTCAAAATAGAAATTTCAAAAGTTTTTTCATATTTCTAAAATCAAATAGAATCTGCATTTTGTGATTTTTTCCGTCATTTGAGTTCGCGAAAGTTCAATAATTTGTAGTGCCGCTATTTCAGTATAATTTTTCGTTTTCTGATAGGAATTAATCTAAATAACTTTAGTAATAGTGAAGAGATTTAATTCCTTAGGAACACACAAAATATTTATAAGCTCGGAATATTTTTTTATTTCTTTTTTGTAAGCTAAATTTTCTAGTTTTTTGTTTTTCTGTTTATGAACTAAGTTCTACTAACAAAATCAACTTTAATTTACAATTAAATCAGGTAGCTAGACCAATAAACTCGGGGGTAATATAAGCAGTTTATGTGCATCGTTTTGAACAGACTAAATTATGAAGTGTTGACTTTGGAATATACTGAGCAAATAAGAAACGGGAATAGAAATAGAGCAACTGTTTTTTAGAATTTCCGCGTTGCACAAGGAGTTGAAGTTGCATTCTAATATATAGCGCCCTATATGATGCAATATTTTGCTTCACGATTTGAATATGGTGTATTGCAACCAATAATTTTTTCAAAATACTAGATGAAACTGAAAATTCTGTGACGTGATAACATTAATCATAATAGCCAACAAGCCAAGTCAACTTAGTCAAAATAACCACAAAAATTTTCTTGAAATTATTTAGATTATTTCACTTGGCATCAAAAACTACAGTATGGATCGGACCTAAAGAAACGATCGTACATACAATACGATAATACAAACATAATTTAGTACTTCTCACAATCACTACAATTCTAGTGAATTGGTAGTATTTTTATTCTTTCAGACACAAGACAACATACCACTTTTTATTTATCGTACATAGAAATGAGAATTCTGAGAGCATTTGATGCTTATTTGCAATTGTGGTAGCAGTAGCAATAACGTCTAAAGATGCTCTTCTTAATGCACATACCCCTCTTTGCCCCCTCTTTCTCTTTGCATTCTTCGTCGCAGTGTTCACTAATAAAGCAATAGCCAGAAAATGTCTTGCTCTTCCTTCGGCAAAGTTTGCCCTCGGCCGCTTGCATCTCTGTAAGGAACAAAAACATATCATAAGTTTGTTTTTTTGGTGAAAATCATTTATTTGAATTGAAAATATGAATTTCTTCTAAAAATGTTGAAATATATGTTTTTTTGGTTTTAAGTTATAACAGTAATGATAATCATTTCATATTAGCGAGTTCGTATTTGATTGTGCAAAGGCACACCTAGGTGCTAGCTGCCTGTACTACGAAAGGACTATAGCAAGTTAACAACTAGGGTAAAATCAATTAATTTATAATGAATTTTTGCAATTTTATGTAATATTGGATTGTAGTTTTGGGTCCAAATATTTATAAAGACACCGACTACAACTAGCTTGGGATTGAGGTATATATACCATTATTTTGTTGTAAAAACACCAATTTTTTGGACTTAAAATATATATGCGTACAACTTTTTCACAAATGAAATGAAAATGAAAGAAGTACCAACCATTGGATGAAATGAGGAGGAAGCACAAGAGGAGAGCAAGGAAGGTTGTGTAACTCACTAGTGACTTTGCCATATTCGTATACTTATAATACGATCTTTCTATTTTCTTTGAAGTGATTGGTGTGTGAAAACTATTAAGGGAAGACAAGTATTTATAGCAAGGCCTGGCAATTTATTTAATGGTTAGTCAATTTTTCCAATGAAACTTGGTTGCCTATTCAAAGAAGAAACGAGTAGTCTAAGGAATGAAGCAAATGATATTTTATACAAGTTAAATATTTGGCAAAATTTTGACTAAATTAATCCTTCTTTTTTCTTTTTATTATAAGATGGGCATTTGGATATAAAAAATTGAACGTGAACTCGTGAAGCACGGTATTGGTAAGATTTAGAAGGGATCATGAAGAAGGAGTATGTTTCCTCATTGCACAAATGAACTGATCAGTTTGTATTCTCATATATCACTTGTAAATTGTAACTTTCCACAAGAGAAGTAGAATTATTATTAACTTGTTAAAATTGTTCTGGAATATTTACGGTAACAATTTTTTTTTACTGGTCTTATTTCTTTATTACATTTTGAGTCAAGTCAAAAAAAGATAAATAAAGTGAAACGAAAGGAGTAAGTCAATTGGGTGGTTTCTTTCATGTTCTTGTCTGTATCTTAAGTAACATATCCCAAATATATAGTTTGACTTTAAGGCTTTTTGACAGGTGATAATCAATTAGAAAAGGCAACTCGAATATTCTACAACCTGATTTTCTACCTTAATAAAGTTTCTGTAATTTTACCTCGTACGTGGAGTTGTTTACAAACTACTGTAATCATATACAAAAATTCTTTAGGTGATCAAGGGTCAATATTTGTGTACGGCAGAAGAAGTCTTTAATCAAACATCAATATTTATGGCTAACTGCAACTGCAAAACTAAGCAAACTTAGCTACACATAATCATCGTAACAAATTCACAAGTATTTTAAATGATTAAGTACTAAGAAAAGATGTACGGCAGAAGATGTCTTCAATCCTTACTCCAATATGCCCCCAGCGTGTAGTTGTCCTCCAAACTGGTGTGATCTTCCCAAAATTAGGTTTAGAACCCCTTTTATACAAGTTAGGGACGACTTAGATAAAATTCAAATTTTATAAAGTAGTTTCACATTGGGGTAGGACACTCCCTAACAAATGCAAGCTATACACTTACCACTTCACCAACCACAACACATGGTGATGAATAGAATCTATTGCTTGATTTACAAAAATAGTTTAGGGTTGAGACTCAAGATTTTCAATAGTATGACTATTGGAAAAGGAAAATATTTGAGTATTGGAGTGAATGAACTGCAAATTAATGATTTCTTTTTTGAATATGGGATAAGAACACCAGATGTCAAACTTACCAAAAATTAAAAATGTTTCATAGTCAAATCATCGAAATTCCTTGCTTTAATTTAGAGGATTAAGAGACATATTCCTCTTTGAATATAAGGGAATTATCATATATAATCAAGAAGAAACTGGAAAACCAGATAGTCCAATGAATAGAATGACTTGCTTAAGGTACAACAGACAACAAAATCAAACAAATGCAGAAATCTTTCTTAAAAAGAGAAAAGAATTAATTTTCTAAATACGAACATGATTAATGCAATTTTATATGTTAAATTTTGCCGTAATACCAAGTCAGTTTATGTCCGCAGATTCTGGATCTTGATATTTCTTTAGGAGTAGTGGTTACCCTAAAAAATTGGATAGCAATTAAACTTATAATGTGGTTTTAAGGATATGTGATTACACCTAATACCAATTGATAAACGTAAAGATAAGTGATGCAAATTGACAATAATATAAAGCAAACTAGCGTTTTGACAGAGCCCTCGAGCTTGAATACCCTCGAGCTAGTTACGCAAGAACGGTTAAAATGCAACAAGCTGATAAACAAGAGGATGCAAACTAAAAAGAGAATATTGTTTGCTTTAATCTGTGTGAATGTAAGATGCTTACAAGATGATTATGACCCCCTTTATATAGTAGAGGAATCCTATTTATGGTACAATTCTAACCATGGAAGTAAATCCCATGATTAACTAGATAACCACCCTTGATTTGGTGTATTCCGAGATTTACGCCATGATCTCTGGTCAGATACGAATATCTTGCCTTTCCGTTATTGCGATTTGCTCGAAGTCTGTCATATTTGGTCTTGGTCGCTGCTGGCCTTGATGGCACTAAAAATATGGTTTCAGTTTCCTAGAGGCGCTTAGCAACGCGAGCCCAAATTTTCTAGGTGGGGATATCTAGTTTCGGCCTCAACTAAGGTCCTTCTATCATAATAAATTGGAAATTGTACTTGTTCTACCAGAACTAGGACTCCACTTACTGCTATTTCTGATACTGCCATATACAATACAGTTATTCGTCTGCCCTTGGCGTGTGAAGCAGTGACGGGCTCGATAGATATCTCTTAAGTTCTTCCAAAGCCTGTTGGCATTCTGGAGTCCATGTAAAGTTGTTTTTCTTCTTTAGTAACGAGGAAAATCGGTGGCTCTTATCGGAAGACCTCGAGATGAATCGCCCCAGGGCGACAATGCGCCCGGTTAGCCTTTGCACGACCTTTATGTTGTCCACTACAGTGATATCCTCGAGAGATTTGATCATGTCATGGTTGATCTCGATTCCTCGGTTGGATACCATGAACCCGAGAAATTTACCTGATCCAACTCCGAACACATATTTTTCGGATTTAGCTTCATGTTGTACTTCTTCAATATACTGAAGGTTTCCTGCAAATGCTTTATATGGTCCTCTGCTCGCAGGGACTTAACTAACATATCGTCAATGTAAACTTCCAACGATTTTCCTATTTGTTCTTTAAACGTTCGATTTACTAGGCGTTGGTAAGTGGCACTGGTTTTTTTTAATCCAAATGGCATTACGTTATAGAAGTATGTGCCATACTTAGTGATAAATGAGGTCTTTTCTTGATCATCCAGGTTCATTCGTATTTGATTGTATCCGGAGTAGGCATCGAGAAAATTGAGGATCTCGTGGCCGGCCTGGCGTCGATCATGCGATCGATGTTAGGCAACGAGAAAGAGTCTTTGGGACGTGCCTTATTCAAATCTTTATAATCCACACACATTCTTAGTTTGTTCCTTTTTTGGGGACTACGACTACGTTTGTTAGCCATTCCAGGTATTTGACTTCCCGAATGGACCCTATTTTAAGGAATTTAGTTATCTCGCCCTTGATGAAAGCATGTTTGATCTTAGACTGGGGTCCTCTTTTGTGCTTGACTGGATGAAATTTCAGGTCTAGGATCAACTTGTGAGTGGTGATCTCCGGTGGGATACCTATCATGTCAATATGGGACCAAGAAAAATAATATATGTTAGCTATAAGGAATTGAATGAGTTTTTTCCTGATCTGTATGCAGTTAAAATCGGGCTCGCCTACTGCACAAAAGATCGGGACTGAAATGAGATAGGTGGGAGATCAATCCCGGATCAAGGTACGAAGTTAGAACATACCGTCGAGTCCGTAACTCTGGAACCAACCTCGTCTCCGATCAAGATCGATGTATTCCTATTGGACCGAATAAATAAAGGCTAAATATTCGTGACTGGTCGGATATCACGGCATAAAACTCGGCACATATCTGCGAAAGACTGACTAATTAGCTAATCATGAGATTTCTGACCTTTTATAGAATTGTATATAAAGTAGGATTCTCTTACTATATAAAGGGGGTCTGATCATTTGTAACTCACATTGTAATACATATCAAACGACAATACACTATTATTTCTGATTCTTATTATCTTGTGATTTTGTTCTGATATCAATTGAGGCACTTTATATTGCAATGGTGGTGAGAAGTGGGATGGTTTTGTGGTTTTGGGATGTTTTATGGAGGCGTGGGGTTCTGAGCGTTTGGAAAATTGATATCTGGAGTGGTGAGGGGAAATTACAAGTTTGCCAGATTCCAAACCTGATCAAGTTCCTCCTAAAATTTCAACAGTTTCTGCTCGAGTTAGGACGCACTTTCTTTGGAGACCTGAGCACCATGAGT